TGTACCACACTGTGAATTTTGTGTAGCATTGCACCCCTACCAACAATTCAAGTTTAATGAAGAAGGAATTCCCATTTTCTTATACAACATCAAGACTTCATGGGAGATTTTGGAGTCTGGGGATTATGATCCATAGTCACTTCCAAATTCACACTTTCACAGTACTGCTAGTCATCACTGTCATTGTTTTAAAACGAAAGACTCATGAAAACAGAAAATAATCAATAAAGGCCAAAAGAAACATCTTGTGTAGTGTGAATATTGACAAGTAGTTCTGACGTTTTGGGAGTGACTGATCATTTGACTTCCTAAACTTTCGTATGACATAAACCATACAACATTTACTTCTAAGTTAATTTTTTGCCTCCAAACCAGGGTTGCAGCAATATATCCTGCGAATATACCATGTCAGCATGGTCTGGACCTACTGATGGACTTAATGCTACAATAACAGGTGGCATGTGGCCTTCCAAGCCTTTTAAGTCAGACCCCACACATACTTTGAGGGAGTTACAGGAATCCAAAGGCAAACGTGCAATAATAATTCAAATGTATTGTAGTATTACCAGAGATCTACCTGCAGCTGGGAAGGGACTTGGGAAGAAGAGCAGCTCAGTTCATTATGAATGGCAGAATAGGTACGGAGCTATGACACTGCTGTCTCCCACGGAAGCTCCATACTAATTTCTAGCAAAAAAAAAAGATTTTCAAACCACAATGGACTAAGTAGTTTACCTTTAGCTTGAATGTACAGTATTTAGCAGCTTTAAGCTAAAGCCGGGGTAGGCAATCTTAACCTAAGAGGGCCGGCCGGTGTGTATGCAGGTTTTTGGGATAACCTTTAGGTCAGCTGTTCAAACCCAGGTGTTAGACCTCTTCAGCCAATCAGCCCTCTAATTAGTAATCTAATTAGGGAGTTGCAGCAAAAACCCGCACAAACAACTGTTTCTGGATAAGATTGCCTACCCCGGAACTAAAGTGACATACAATTGGAAAAGCAGGAGCAGCCAGTCCCTGGAGCAGTTGGAGTTAAGGGACTTGCTCTTATCACTCTGGCAACCATGGAATGTGAACCAGTGACCTCCTGATCACAGCCAGAGTTTGCTGACTTACTAAAGCCACACAAATGTTATATCTGCCAATGCACCCCTTCTTAGATGCAAATGTCACATAATCTGTTTTTATTTTCATAGTGCACATCATAATACTACATGAGCATTTTTTTTTATCCTTTTAGAGGAATCCATGGCCAAATACCACAGAAACAAAATTAGGTTGTTTCATTCTAGCCTGGCATTCCAGCCCGGAGAGATGTATACTGATGATGCACCCAGAGCTCAATTAAGATGAAAAGGCTCAGCTCATAAAAACTGTTTTACTTCTGTTGTTGTCTGTCAATGCTTACGTCAGTGGTAAATGAACTGCATTTGTGGTAGTAACACAACTGATGTTTCTTTTTTTTAATCATTAAAATTGCATGGCAAATTACTGCTTTGCTCTAAAAGCAAACAGATCAGAATAGTGCACAGATTAATACAGTTATGGCTTAGAAAGGAGAGTATTGATTTGCAGTTTTAAGTATAAAATATCTGTGTAGGTACTGTTTAACAATGCTTTATTTTGTATTGTACGTCGGCATTCATGATCTTTGTTACTGCAAATGTAAATACCCCTCACAATAAGCTGTGTGCTGGCTAACTTTGACGGCTAACTTTATTACGGCTCAGAGTGTTTTCCCTAAAACAAAAACATTTTTAAATAATTAAAAAACTGCAATGGAGAATATCTGACTTTACCTAAAATGAATTAATTGGCTGGAACTAACAACACAATTCACTGCCAATCAAATAACATTTTGCCAACATGGATTTAGGAGAGGTAGGTCCTGTTTAACTAATTTACTTGAGTTCTTTGAGGAAGCTACAAGAGAAATTGATCACAAAAAGGCCTACGATGTGATCTACTTAGATTTCCAGAAGGACTGAGTGATACTTTTAAAGTTTGCAATGAGAAAAGTGTGCTGAGGCAAAATTTGCTCCCTACGGTCCACGAGGACATCTCTGTTGGAGTGTAAATCACCCCTCTAATACTCCGTCTGGTATTACACCCATCTCCCATGTTCTTTGAGGGTCTTCCATCACTCTCACAAGCCAGCAGCCACACTGAGACCTTAGAAGAGATGGCACCCCATTCGGGCAGTCTTGAAATAACACTGCCAGTCCACTTTGCCATTCATGCATAGCCTGCTCACCTTCAGTGTGGCCCATGAAAAAACATCATTACGGATTCATGCATATCCATTGCCTAAACCTGGGACGTATAACTATGACCCAGTATGGGACGTGTTTAATGGAAAGAGCTGGTATTTTTTTTTTTAACAATTTCAAATTCAGACAGGCACCAATCCCAGACACAGCACACTAAGGATTGTATTATGTAAAACTTAAAAAAATAATTATCCATGACTCTCAAAAGCGATACAAGTCGGGCTGACAGGTAAAATTCATTCTGGTATTTTGTTGAAGATTATAAGTAAACAAGGAAAGACAAAGTAGTTAGAGTAGATAATATACTAGGGAAGGAAACAAACATGATGCAACTGAAAACATTTCCAGGATCTGCTTCAGCACAAGGGCATTCTCTAATGTCGAAGTATACAAAAATATCTCAAAAGTACAACATGGTCTTGAAGTGCTGCTTTGCATTAGTTGTACATACTTTTTTTTTTGCATTTTGTACATTAGAACATAGAAATGTTACTCAGTGTGATCAGCAAAGCCCAATGAAGCCAAGAGGGGAAAAATAAACCTGAAAAAGGTAAAAACTAGTAAAACGCAACAAGAAAAATAGGATCCGGGATTTCTCAATTAGGAAGAGCGGAAGGCATTTAAACAAATTGTCACATAAACAAGCAGGAAGAATTTGTTGACACAGGAAATTCCAATAACTGTAGCACACTCCAGATGAAGAATTTGCATTCCTACATCCAAGATAGGACCCTTTCCAGCAGAAAATGTAAATGCTCCTTTCATATTTCATCAAGGAAAGGTAAACATATGAAATCATTAGCTGTACAACAGCTATTGACATAACTTACATGGTTGCCGTCTATCATTGCATTTACAGTCAGTCTTGCTACAACACAACCAAGGCAATCCTGAAAAACCTTGCATTCACTAAATTTGTATACTAAAATACACATATCCGATGAGAAAAATAGGGCTGGAGGAATGCGACTCCAAACCTTAGTAACTTACGCCAAACAAAATTAATTAAATAATAAAAACAGTGATACCAGTGGCCAGTAACGTAATGATGTGCATGTTTAATAAGAAATAATAATAATACATTGATAAATTATATCATAAATATCTCCTATGGGTTTTATGAGTGTCACGAGAATTGCCTGGTAACCACTTTCACTGAACGGGCCAAACTCGCTAGCTTGTTGTTTGCCTAGAGTCAGAAGTAGTGAAGCCACAGCCACAATGCAGCTCAAATACAATGGATTAAGGTACAGTACAGTATGCGGAGGGTTACTGAAGGCAACATGGTTACAGACAGTCAATGAAAATGAATTTAAAAAGGTTGCTGTGTGATAATTTGTCAAATATTTTTAGATTTTTAATGTGTGGATGTACAGAAAGTTTGATTCTTTTAGATTTGAAAACCAGTTCTACTGATTCACTTAAGAGAACGGGTTCAAAAGAAGAATTTGTTCATGAATCGAACATCACTATCATTCACTTGGATAGCTGTTTTTGTGCACAAGCAGTGTTTCTCGTTAAAACCATGTCACATTGTACTTTGTGTAGTGCTTTTCTCTCTGATTGAAAACTGCACAAATACAAATGCGATTCCGCTTTGCATTGGACTTGGGTACTAATATATCAGTCGCATTAGAACAGATTTGTGGTGTGATATCACGAGTTGTAACAGGACTGACTGTACACTGATTCTTTCCAAAAATTTCTGTCCTCTGCTCATTAACCAATAATGCTTAGACTTATGCGATAAAGCAAATTCCATATGCAAGCAAAACTTAAAAACGAATAGCCTGGCATTAAGGCCGTTGTCATACTTCAGGACATGGAATACCCTGATGGATATGGATACACAATGGAAATGCACACAAACTCAGCTGGATAATGGTAGAGATCCCAAATGGCTCACTGCAGGAATGCATTCCAGGAGTAAACGTCGCTGGGAGTTAAATCTGAGTTACTGGCAAACCAGGACTGAAAAACAACATGTTTTTCCATTTACTCCGCACTCAGGCTAAAAGACTGCTTTAATTACACAATGACCCCACTAGACTCAATAAAATCTCAGTTAAGTCAATGCTTCAGAGCTAAATTAATCCCACACACCAAAACACTGAAAGTGTTCCACATAGTTTCATCCTCACATTTGACAATCGCAAATTAGACAGAGACATGAAAGGAATTTTGCGGCAAAGTATGCAGAACAAAATGTGACACACTTCGATAACTGCATGCGGTTGTGATTAGCTTTGCTGTAGAAACTTCCTGAACCAGTTTACACCTTATTATAGCTGTACAAAGCCAAACACCCATGTGCAGGTGTCTAACCCAGCCATGGAGTCAGTACAAGATGGGCAATTTAATGAGTTACTGTAACAAACTGACTAATCAGAGGTGGGGGACTCGCTAGGCACCGGCTTGCCAAACCAGGAGGCCCACCTGCCCATATTACTGATCGGGGACTGTCTGGGATACTGGGATGTGCCTCATCATTCATCTACGCTATCTGTAAATAGCCAAATCGTCTGCCTGTGGTTTTAGACCCTGCAGCATGCGGGGAGAGCGCACCAGGCCGCGGAGGTGCACGCAGCATCCCCTCACCGCGCAGCAGGCCGCGGAGGTGCACGCAGCATCCCCTCACCGCGCACCAGGCCGCGGAGGTGCACGCAGCATCCTCTCACCGCGCACCAGGCCGCTTCTCAGGGGACCGTTCAGGGGAATGTCCCACAGACTCACCATCTCCACTCCAGGGGGAAACACTGTGTCTTCCCAGTCCTTTGCTGGAAAGCGCTGGATGATCTTCCCACATCCTTCCCCTGATCCTGCAATGAGACAAGAAAACAAAATTGGCACCGGTATGGGATTTCCCCACAAAGCAAATGCTGGGAGAAGCACAGCGACCATAAAGGAAAGAGAATGTTAAGATCACGAGAGTAGCGACCTCTCATTTTAGCTGAAATGTACTGGAGTTTCCAGAAGGCTCCAGCAGTTTGTACCAGTATGCCTTCACACACATCATAAAGGAGAAATAAGGGAATTTCAACCACATGAACAGCCAAAGTTTCAAACCATACAGGGATTAGTTAGGATCTGTCGTATCCCTGTAAAGTCAACTCCATTTGGAAAAGGAGTTACTTATTCAGAATCAACCAGGGTCAAAGGATTAAGAGGCTCCAGCCACAGCTGGTGCTACGCTGTAGCACGCCTGAGAACGGTTATTAACTTGAAGAGCTGCAATAAAAATGTATACAAGTTGCTTTGGATAAAGGATCTGCCCAGCAAGTAAAAATAAACAAAATGCATAATAAAAAACATTTTATGGTGTCTATAATTTCAGAAAACCATCAAAAGCACAAAGCATCTGAAGACAGCGACATCAAAAACATACATAATGGAGAATAATTTAGCAGTAATATCTGGCAGCATCACCCCAAGATGAATGTCTTTGCAAGCAGAAAGGGAGATTTCAGCAGATTTTTTTTTTTTGGATCTAACCTGCATTCCAGCTACTAGATATAACGAGCATACTAAATAGTGAGCAAAAACCGAGATCACGTATTAACTACTGTACAGCACGTATTATAATGACCAGCTGTGTTAAAATCTAAAACCACAGGAATGTGTTTTTTTCCTGAAGATGAGATTTATCGCGTATGTTAAACTCTTTTAGGTTGTTCCACTTCTGCACCTAAAATCAACGTAAGGGTGATATTTAATATCCCATCTAGAACTTTGGGGGGTAAGTTAGGACAACCCAAAAAAAAAATCTGATTAGTTTCCCAGATTCTTAGGCTGCCCAACTGGCCATGTTCATATCCAAAAATTAATTCTTTGGGCAGACTTTTTTTTGGCATTTTCCAGCTGAAATCCCTACTCGCCTTGCTTTGTGTCTTTCTTAAAAGCCAGGAATGATTTGCCCCAGCAGTGATGCATGGGACTGGGGGCAGTATCTCACTTAACCAGCACAGGGACGGAAGAGGCTGCGCTTAGCCTGTACCACAGGGGCTCAGGTTCCCCAATACGGTCAGCGTGTGGGCTGATCCCTGGCACAGCACAGCTGGTCGGAGCAGCGAGTCGCACTGCACAGCATCGGCAATGATTCTCCAAGGCAGAGGAGGAGCGACAGAGAGACAGCGACAGAGAGGAAGAACGCGCAAAGTGAGCCAAAGACCACAGGTAATAAAAATAAGATAAACAATGAGAGAATAATACATTTGCAAGATGAAAGGTCCCTTGAACTAGTACATAATAATCTGTATCCACAAAATAGTCATGTAGGAATTTTTTAAAAAATGTCATTCCATAACAGCACCAAGAAGAGTATGTGAGAGCTAATGTGAATCGTTATTTTTAACGATTATCAGTCTAAGGGACTCAAAGGGGTGAACAATGAGCATGACAGGTAATACCAGTGCACAGCTTAATGGGACGGTGTTTGAATGTGCTGCGTAAGAACAATGCAGATGCTCTGGAAAAGCATTCCATGCCTTCGTAAATTACGAGAGGGATCGGCGACGGGCCATACCACTCGGGGGGGGGGGGGATTGTGGTTTTAGTTTCTAGTTTCTTGTTGTGAAGCCAGCTGTGACTTTCCCCATCTGAACCCCGCTACCAAGGGAATATTTGACCAAAAATTATACAACATTTCATATTTATACACATGCATTTAAAAAGAGGATGCTACCCAGCTGCACATAATAAGGGAGGAGTATCTGGCTCTGCGGGACAGGCCTCTGAGTCTGTGATGTGAAGGTCATCGGTTCAAACCTTGTGGTCAGCAGAGTGATGTCACCGTCGGGCCTTTGAGCAAGACCCTTAACCCCAATTACTCTGGGGGCACCGGACACCGGCTGACCCTGAGTTCTGACCCCAAATCCTTCTCTCATCTGTATAAGGGTCTCATCGAGAGCAAGATGGGCAAAAAGATACCCTCTCCATCAGCTTGAATATAGTGTCACTGTTCTTATATGTGGCCTGAGACAGCAAATCAAGCCATTCATATTCCCAGTGTCTATTCCAGTGTCTTGGCATCTGTTTTCACAACAATGAAATGATGACAAAATAATGCAACAATCTAACTACTTTCTAAGCAAACATGTCATACTGACCCAGATGGCAAATGGCCTGACCTCTCAAGAAAACTAACTTAGGTAATTTACAAAGAAACAAAAAGTTTAAATATTAATCCTACATGAGAAACAAACTAGCAGGATTCAAAGCACTAAGTGGTAATAACTCATAAGCAATGCATTAAATTACAATTGTCACGATTATTCAATTAAACCTGATTTACAGAAAAAACATTGATTAAAAACTGACCTACTTGATTAATCTGCAATATGGTGGATGGAAGACCAAGCTTAGAGAATGAGGATGCAAATAAAAAGAGAACAGTTGTCACAGAACTGAAATATCACAATAGCATAACTGCAATGCAACAACAATCTTTAGGATCCGCTGTCTCACCAAATAATATGAACTAGTCATACATGTTATGTGCCCATTAGTGTCTTGAAGTAGCCTAGCCAAATCTTTGTCAGCTTAAATTAATTTGCTTTCTATGATTCTTATACCTCAAGATAATCACCGCTAAAACAAAGGACAGCTCTGTCGCTTAGCTAGTTATCTTTTGTTCTTGTAAAATTTCTCACAAACAGGCTACAATGTTTATAGGCGAGTCCAACAGCTACAGTAGGATAAAAATGATTGTCACTGGCTCAGAGTATGCATGCAGAGCTCATGTAAAAGCAACGGCAGTAAACTTTAGACTGAATTTTTGTTAATATGTGTTAGATATATTGAGAACGAACCATTATTAAAATTGCAGAGCTTGGTAAGTTTTGTTTCCTATGACAGAGTGAAAATGTTTTAGTGAAAAGTATTGTCTTGTGACAATTGCATGTACATAATAATGTCTAAATTAATGTATTAATGTCACACATCATGCAAGCCTAGTATTAAGGGGGCCACAGTGAATAGCGCTGTTGTGCAAAGCGTTGCTTTTTGTCTGTCAAATATGTGTGTGTGTGTGTGTGTGTGTGTGTGAGTGAGAGAGTCAGCAAGTCAGTGAGTCTGCACTATGGTGCTGCGCCAGGGTTGGTTCCTGCCTCACGCAAATTACATAAATGATTACCTGACTACTTGTTACATTATTCAGCAAATTATAGGATTATTAATAAACTGACAGTGACAACCAAATAAATTATGGGAGGGTTGTAACCCCCACAATAATAAAAACCAGCCAATACAATCCCCTGGACCCCATTAAATGGGTGGAGACCTCAAATCCCACAACCCAAAGTTATGCCCTTAGTGACAGACCTACATTAAATTAAATCGAGATGTTTGCAGGTACGAAGGTTAAAGATTATGTTATACGAAACTATGGATATGGGAAAGAATGCACAGCATCTCAGTGTTATAACCTCCTTTCAGATAAACAGATGCCATGCATTTTCTGAACACTAATGAACAAAGGCTCTGATTCTGACCAAATGTCATCATTTTGTGCTTTCAGGAATTTTGTACTGACTGCTTCTCCTTTGCCATCCTATCACTGCAGCAAATTGCACAATGCAGAACAAGAAAAATGTACAAAAAGAAGCACTGAAGAAAGCTCTAATGCCACACATCATTAAATGTAATTTAAAATGTTTCCTCAAGAAATCTAGAGCCTATAAGAAAACTTCAAACACAACACCCATCGGTGTCTGGAAACGGCTTAACAGAATAAATGAATGAATATACAGTATTAATCCATTTTACTCAGCGTCCACTGAGTCCATGGGCAACCATCTGCAGCAGGGTTTCTTTTATTTAAGTAAGTTTAGAAGACAGTGGCCCAGATGTTACATCATGAAAACAACCCCAAGTGATCTTCATGGTGCACTGAAAAAGTTAGTACTGTAGCTCTAAGTCAAATATTGACAAAAATTACCACTTTTAATTCATGGTTTGGCTTGCACATTTTCCATGTCTGGTGGTGCCACCCATGGAAAACCATGAAAATATTGTAATATGATGAAACTCTTGATTTGTTTTTAGAATTTTATGTATAAAAAATTGAGATCAAGGACAGAAGTTTGTGAAGGTGTTCAAGCGAATGTCTGTTTAATTTGAAATGGTGGCACAATTGCAATTAATATTACAACTAATCATAAATGCAAAAAACAAATAGGAAGTAACATCCGAAGCATTTGTAGACATTTAAATGGCTACATTATGAAAGTTTTTACTTGGGGGAAAAAAATATAAAATATCTTTTTCTTTTCGGTTGCGCTACATGACATGATGTGCGACTGGAACAGAGCTACCATGAATGCCCAAGTGAGTGCAGAGACTTTTTGAGCACCATTTGAATTTAAATCCAAAGTTTGGGCAAACTTTGCATTCTATAAAGTAAACGGACACCTAGACATGAGGATGAATATCTGCTTCTGGGTGCAATTTCAATACAGCAGGGAAACATAATTTGTTTTGAAATTGTTTATTAAAAGTGCAAACATAATTAGGCATGGTTGTAAACCAAATATAAGGCAATGCATCTGTTGATGTGTCTGAATAACAAAACCCAAGAGATGTTTATTTGCACATTATATAAATAAATATGTAAAATACATTTCAAAGGTATAATGTAACAATCCTAAGGAACAAAATCCCATCTAAAGCCCGTGTTCTCCACTACCGAGTATGGTTGTATATCTGTACTGATAAACACCCCTAGAGTCATAATTATTTTTTTAGCCCCATCTGAATTTCATATGAAAAATGCCTTCATCGCTACGGGGAGACAAACTTGCAGCGGTTGTTTCTGTCTTGCTCT